GTTAAAAAGGTTATCACCTATATTCTGGAGAGAAGCAAAATGGCAAGCACGACAATGAATCCGCACTATGGTCCTGCCCATGAGGCCCCACCACCACCCCTTTATTGTCACCTTTATAACTAAGTTCAGCATATCGCTGAAGAGTTTCGGAAAGGTAGATTTGAGACCAGCGTTTGAAGGCTAATCTGAAGGGATGTTTGTCTCTTTTTGAATGGCTATAGCGATCTAGTACTTTTCCCTTGTCAGCGGCCTTCAACGCAAAGGTTCAATATAGGGCACTGGGGTGCCGACAGGAGGCCCGTCGCGCGGCAAGAAGGCAGAGTCGGCGGACGAGTCGCAGCGCGTGATGTGTAGGACGTGCAATGGGACATTCTATTTAACTTGACGCGAAATCACTACAGTACGCGCGCGACTCGTCCGCTGACTCTGCCTTCTTGCCGCGCGACGGGCCTCCTGTCGGGTACCCTAGGGCACTACGTTCGCATCGCTAAGACTTGCTCCGCCTCTGAAAGAAGGAGGAAGCACGAGGCGAGGATAGAAAGAATGGAGTAGCGGATACCTCTGTTCGCGCACAATGGCTTATGGAGGAAGTTACCCGATCGAGTTAAGCTCAGGTAGAGGAATAGAGGATCAAGTTTACTTAGTGAAGAACGTATTGTATCAGATTAGTGGAATGAACGTGTCTGGCTGATGGAGGAAAAAGAACACGTTGAGTGGATTTCGAAGATGCTACTCGATCATACAAACAGTGATCGTGCTGAATATGGGCCGATTTAATGAAGGTTAGACCTATATGCTAGTCGTGGCCACTGCCTGAAACCCCAGATCGAAGTTGTGGGTCACACTGGTTGATAAGATGCCGGATTGACTAAAAATGAAAAAAAGAAGCAATGAATCGATGAACCCCAGACAAAAATTCCCCTTGAAAAAGGAAGGGCGGGGCCGGACGAGTTGTACGAACTTGCCTGCTCCACGGCTCAACTAACCCGCGCGTATTTGAATTAGCCGCTACGCCGTAATCCACGTTGCGTGTCATGGGGTGTGCGCTACGTAACTCGTCCAAATGCTAAGATTAGTCGCCAAATGCTGACTTTGTAAGACCCTAGCGCCATTGTCGCGCACTTTCGAGCCGCGACAACGGCACATTTGTGCTACTTGGGCTACTCTATCCCACCCACTGAATAGATTTTTCGACACGACTTCTGCTGGGGGTGTTGTTAAAACGGTGGCGCTTAGTGACCACGTGGGATATTTGGGCTTTCGCTTCTACCCCTCACACTTCCTGATCAACAGAATGTGCTATCATTTCATTTGTTAAGGGGAACCCAAAGTGAAACCTGGCCACAACAGTGGTAATTCGGGATCACAAGTCAAAAAGCCTGGCGTGCTGAAGATAAATCCTTGGAAAAGCGTAGGGATCCATTTTTGATTGCAGAAGTTCTCGACGAAAAAGGAAGGAGATACCTGGTAGGAGGTTGGTAGTCTTTCGCAGCACGGCACTCTGAAATCGGTGGTGCGACTTTCGACCAAAATACGTGTAGGATTCCACGTCGTAATAAAA